CGGAATCTTCTCTAACTTTGTCTTATGTTTAACTAGGTATGGACTCCAGGCTGGAGCTGCATATTCTAGGATTGGTCTTACATAAGTGGTATACAGGGTCCTGAACGATTCCTTACACAAATTTCTAAAGGCAGTTCTTATGTTGGCCAGTCTAGCATATGCCGCTGATGATATCCTTTTGATGTGGGCCTCTGGAGACAGGTTCGGTGTGATATCGAACCCCCAGATCTTTCTCTCTATTTGATTCTTGCAGGATTTCACCTCCCAGATGGTACCCTGTGTTCAGCCTCCTGATCCCTTCGCCTAATTTCATTACTTTACACTTTCCTGAGTTGAACTATAGCAGCCATTTTCTAGACCATTCCTCCAGTTTGTCCAGGTCATCCTGTAGTCTCTGTCTATCTTCATCTGTCTTGGTTCTTCTCATAATTTTTGCATCATCAGCAAACATTGAGAGGAATGAGTCCATTCCCTCTGGGAGATCATTGTGTACTTACGTGTGTGCCTGTGTGTACGTACGTGCGTGCGTGCGTGTGTGTACGTACGTGCGTGCGTGTGTGTATTATCCGTGAGGCTGCCCAACGATTCTGAGGAATATTAATTAACCAATTAACCAATTAATTAATCTAATCTCCTTCAGCTAATCAAGGCAGCCTAAGATCCCCTGAGGGAGGCAGAGCGACTATGGCATCATGACTCCTCCCTCCCTTACACCCCCATCCCATGAACCCTCCCCCCCCATCCCATGCACCCCCCCCCTTCTCTGACTCTCCCCCCCATCCCATGCACCCCCCCCTTCTCTCACTCTCCCCCATCCCATGCACCCCCCCTTCTCTCACTCTCCCCCCCCCATCCCATGCACCCCCCCATCCCCTCAAGCTTGGTCTTGTTATGCTCAAATGAACTCAACACCCACCGGATCAAATTAAAAAAGGTTTGTATTCCCTCATCTTGTGATGAGTGAATGTTTTCGTCTTAGTTTTTTTGGGGGGGTAGAGTGAAGCAGTTCAATTCCCTTTCAAGGAATTGAATGGATTGTTAAATTTTCCCCGAAGGGCCAGAATCAGGGCATCACGTGCATACCCCACTTGTTATGTGCCTTCTGGAAATTCATTATTCACAATAGTATTCATGAGGATGGTGAATAATGTGGGACTTAACACTCCTCCTCCTCCTTGGGGATGTCCCAAGTTCCATATTACTTCTTCACCAGGCTGTTGTTCCTTGGGGGCAGACCTCGGCTTTCCTCCCCGTGTCATGGTCGTCAATCTATTTCATGAATCTCCCCTTGACACCTGTCTTCTCCCCTTGACACCTGTCTTGTCTCCTTGACACCCATCTTGTCTCCTTGACACCCATCTATACGAGCTAATTTACGATGGCCATCGCTGGTGCCTTATCAAAGGCTCTTTGAGGTCGACTAAACAGAGTACTTAGGCTGCGTCTTTAGCTAATTACCTCTACAATTAGCTGTGCTCTTATCATTCAGCAAATCTGTTGACCCTTTCCCTTAGTCAACCTATTTTATGTGACAGGCGATTTAAGATGATCCTGTCAAGCATTTTGCATGTAAATAATGCGAGGCTAATAGGTTCGAAATTACCATGATCTTTAACGTTCGATATTTGGGATAATAAGTCTCTATTTCCGCTTTTGGGCAGCACTCCACTAATACCTAATTTCAGTAGTGGATTCTCCAAACTTCACACACTACATTGAGTATGACGTAGGTGACTCCATCCTCATCCGGTGCAATTCTTTTGCTTCTTTTCAGACACTTCAACAAAAGGTTTCAATCATTCGTTAAATTCAATTCAATCCATTTAATCTCCTCTGTTCTTTCTATCCTCTGAGGTTGTGAGATTTAGTTCCATTAGCCTGTGTTTGTAGCTTAACCCTCTTAGCTCTGGCTAAGAGGTGGTGTGGAGGTCTTCTTGCAAACCTCTCTTTTTCAATTTAGGTTTGCTTCACAAGGTGTGGATTCCATGCCGGCGCTGCATATTTGAGTATTGGTCTAATTAATGTTGCGTAGATTGCCGTGAAGGAGCCTTGATTCAGGTTTCTAAACGATGTTCTTATATTTGTCAGCGTCCCATATGCTGCCGATGTTATCCTGTTTATGTGTGCCTCCGGTGTGAGTGTTAGAATTATATCCACCGATTCCAGTAGCTGGCTTTCCCTTACGGTGTAAATGCCTTCTGGTCTCCTCTCTCCTATTTTCCATCTTCATTACCTTCCACTTTTGGGGATTGAATTCCAGGAACCATTTGTTTGACCACTCCTCAAATATGCCAAAGTCTTCTTGTAACTCTCTGTAGTCTTCATCTGTTTTCACGTTCCTCGTCAACTTTGCATAATCAGCAAACATTGACGTGTCCGAGCTCGCTCCCTCGGGCAGGTCGTTCACACAAATTAGGAACAGAAGTGGTCCCAGGATAGAGCCTTGTGGGACCCCACGTGTTACATTCCTTCAGCTTGAAGCCTCCTCTCTGACTGTGACTCTTTGTTTTCTGCCCTTCAGATACTCCCTTACACAGTTCAGTTTTGTTTTTTCCCTTGAAAACAGTGATTCCAGTGATCCCAGCCTACTTCTCCATCTTGTACAAACGTCTTTCAAGGGGAACTGTCTCAAATGCTTTTTGATAGTCTAGAAAAGTTTGACAAGGGAGAATAGTTTGTTGGCTAGGTGATGTGGCTGGGTGATGTGGCTAGGTGATGTGGCTGGGTGATGTGGCTAGGTGATGTGGCTGGGTGATGTGGCTAGGTGATGTGGCTGGGTGATGTGGCTAGGTGATGTGGCTGGGTGGAGTTGGTAGTGTGGCTGAGTGACAGGGGTGGTATGGCAGGGTGAAGGGGAGATGTGGCTGGGGTTGCGATGATCTGACGGGTGGAGAGGGGGGGTGGTGTGGCAGAGGTATGGTGTGGAAGGGTTGGGGGTGAGTGAGTGCGCACGCACCTGGAGTGCCACACCTCCCCGTCTTCAGTACACATGCACTCACTAACCTAGCGTGTACGTCCTTAACCCCCCCCCTACCCCCCGCCCTTACGCCCCCCCCCTACCCCCCCCCCCTCCTACAGACAGCTTCCTGCTCCTCAAGCACGCCTGTGCACATTTACACGTGCTTGTACGTACATACATTACGCACGTGCGTGTTTACAATGACTAATCTACATTGTCTGCACGTGCATGTCTACAGGGGCTCACCTGCACGGCTTGTCTGCACGTGCATGTCTACAGGGGCTCACTTGCACGGCTTGTCTGCACGTGCATGTCTACAGGGGCTCACCTGCACGGCTTGTCTGCACGTGCATGTCTACAGGGGCTCACCTGCACGGCTTGTCTGCACGTGCATGTCTACAGGGGCTCACTTGCACGGCTTGTCTGCACGTGCATGTCTACAGGGGCTCACCTGCACGGCTTGTCTGCACGTGCATGTCTACAGGGGCTCACCTGCACGGCTTGTCTGCACGTGCATGTCTACAGGGGCTCACTTGCACGGCTTGTCTGCACGTGCATGTCTACAGGGGCTCACTTGCACGGCTTGTCTGCACGTGCATGTCTACAGGGGCTCACCTGCACGGCTTGTCTGCACGTGCATGTCTACAGGGGCTCACCTGCACGGCTTGTCTGCACGTGCATGTCTACAGGGGCTCACCTGCACGGCTTGTCTGCACGTGCATGTCTACAGGGGCTCACTTGCACGGCTTGTCTGCACGTGCATGTCTACAGGGGCTCACTTGCACGGCTTGTCTGCACGTGCATGTCTACAGGGGCTCACCTGCACGGCTTGTCTGCACGTGCATGTCTACAGGGGCTCACCTGCACGGCTTGTCTGCACGTGCATGTCTACAGGGGCTCACCTGCACGGCTTGTCTGCACGTGCATGTCTACAGGGGCTCACCTGCACGGCTTGTCTGCACGTGCATATCAACAAGATCCACGTGCCCGTAGTGGCGGTGTTTACGGGTCGTACAAATGATGCCGTACGAAACCTGTCCATCTCCTGGACGGTTGACGCAGTGACCTTCCTCCTTCATGTTTCTCATAGTATTGTTGCCTTCCCGCTTCTCATTCTGCGTATTGCTTCTCTGTCTAACCCTGTCTGTTTTGCTGAATATCTCGCACGTTGTTGTCATGTCCCCCCTGATTCCTCCAAAGTGGCGAGCTTTAGCTCCATCAGCTTTCCACCGTAGTTATGTCCCTCAGCTCTGGGACAAGTCTAGACTCGTAACTGTACGTTTCTTCTTTTCTTAACCCTTTTCTCAGGTGCATGCTCAAGAATGTCTTTACGAAGCACGTATATAAAATTCTCAAGGCGTCTAGGTTCCTGAAGGCTGTCTTGATGTTTGGCAGTCTGACGTATGTTGCAGATGATATTTTAATAATGTGTTCCTCAGAAGATAAGTTTGGTGTTTATGACAGAGATCAGGACATGCTTTTTCATCTATAGGGGTTATAAGCCCATAGAACCGTCTATATCCGCCGGAGCTGTAAATGCCAAGACTTCAGTTCAAAATCCTCTTGAGGTTATCTTCAGATGATATCGGGGCTTAGCGTCTCCGCGGCCCGGTCCTCGACCAGGCCTTCTTTTTGTTACACATCCTCCAGGAAGCAACCCGAAGCAACTGCCTAACTCCCAGGTATCTATTTACTGCTAGGTGAACAGGGGGCACTAGGGTGAAAGAAACTCTGCCCATTTGTTTCCGCCTCCACCGGGGATCGAACCCGGAAGCCTAGCACTACGAACCCCGAGCGCTGTCCACTCGGTCGTCAGGCCACTATTCCTAAACAGATAGACCTGTCATCTATCAAGTCAGCATAGATTAAACGTCTCGGTAGCGTAAAATTACACGGAGGCAGACAGCACCCTAAGCGTTGGGAGAGTTACTACCTGACTGGCCATTGTGGGGCGTGAAGGGTAGTTAAGGCAAGTGGAAGGGTAGTTAAGGCAAGTGTAGTTGGAGTGAGGTTACAGGGGGTAATAATCATCAAGTTCGGAATGTTGGAGGTTCAAGATTATGGACGAGTTACAATGTGGAAAAACAAAATTTCAACTAAAAAGACAAGGTTGCCCAGGACTGACCCCAAGGCTGGTGATCAATTACTCAACCCCTCTACCCACCGCAACACCCCACGAGTGACTGTGCAACATGTTCCAAGGGGGAATGTCCCCCCCCTCCTTTTCTCCTATACCCACGTGACCCAGACCCTGTGTCACGTGGTCTTGACCCTGTGTCACGTGGTCTTGACCCTGTGTCACGTGGTCTTGACCCTGTGTCACGTGGTCTTGACCCTGTGTCACGTGGTCTTGACCCTGTGTCACGTGGTCTTGACCCTGTGTCACGTGGTCTTGACCCTGTGTCACGTGGTCTTGACCCTGTGTCACGTGGTCTTGACCCTGTGTCACGTGGTCTTGACCCTGTGTCACGTGGTCTTGACCCTGTGTCACGTGGTCTTGACCCTGTGTCACGTGGTCTTGACCCTGTGTCACGTGGTCTTGACCCTGTGTCACGTGGTCTTGACCCTGTGTCACGTGGTCTTGACCCTGTGTCACGTGGTCTTGACCCTGTGTCACGTGGTCTTGACCCTGTGTCACGTGGTCTTGACCCTGTGTCACGTGGTCTTGACCCTGTGTCACGTGAGACCTCCACAGCTTGACACTGGCAGCTGGTGAAAATGAATTCCCGTTTTGCTACAACAAAAACATTTCTCGCAAAATGTTGTGTTTCTCACGACGTGTTTCCGGTGAGCCAGACCCGCCCTGTGAGCAGAGTGGTGGTGTCATGGGCACTCCTTGTTAGTGGTGAGCTGTGACACATTATGCGTAGTTGGTTTGATTAGTCTAGATAAGGTTAATCTAAGATAATCTAGTCGAGGTTAGGCTAGCCTAGTCCTGGGTAGGTAAATCTAGGATAATCTAGTCGAGGTTAGATTAGGTTTGGATTAGTTATTCGTAACTTATTATTACAAATAATTACAGTTGAGGCCAGACTGAACAGCAGTACAGCTGTGTAATACTTACAGCTTGCTATTACAGCGATGAAACTTGTATTGACAAAACATATAACATGGAAATAGAATGCTGAAAATTACATTGACTAATTATAACGAGTTTAGAGTAATTTTGTGTCTATGAATTACTTGGAACATAAATTACAAAAATATAATTATAAAAGACTAAATAACAATACCCGGGAGTGCCCGTGTCTCCTCCCCCCCACCTCTTCAAATTTTATTCATAAAACTTATCATAAAAGGTTCTTGGCGCATTTTAATGTCACAATATTATCTTTGTCTTTCGTAATTCCTTTAAGTTACCGAGCCGTAGATACTACTATGATCTGGGGGCAGCCTAGGTAATCGTGCCTCGTTCCATAGCTAATGTCAGAAAATAGATTTATTTTGGAATTCCAAGTGTGATCATTCCAGCCGGGCATATCTCTCCTCTAATTTGTCTTAAGATGGATATCTTCTTTCCATATTGTGGTAATAATTGTAATTGGGAATATTATCAAGTTCTCTTAGGCACTTTAGAGTCATTCAGGTTAATAACAGTGGCCTTATCTCAGGTAAGTTGTGTTCTTGGGAGAAAGTTATCGTGACAAGCAGCAGCAACTTGGGTGAATTATACTCAAGTTGGCTCTGACGGAGGTGTCCGGGAAGATTGTCACAGTCAGTGAGAGTCTTATATATAGACTAGAAAGTGAAGGGATGACGACGTTTCGGTCCCTTCTGGACCATTTTCAAGTCGATTGAGAATGATCCAGGACGGACCGAAACGTCGTCGTCCCTTCACCTTCTAGTGTGTGGTTTGGTCAACACATTTCAACCACGTTATTGTGACTCCTCGACTGTATAGTCTTATATATCCACAAATGTGACCAGTTAGATGGAAAATGATCACTATGAGACCTTCCTCGTCCGTCCCTTAAGTCAATATTAAATTCATCATTTCCTTTATCAACTGTTAAGTAATTATCACTAACCACATTAAACTGATTGTCATAAACCACGAGATTAATTCCTAACATTAAATACACAATTAAGGAACTCACAATAACGTGACAGATCTGTGAGAGGAAATCTTTGTAGCAGGGCGGTGGGATTGAACCAGCGTTCAATGGGTCACCCCCATGGGGCCATAATATGCTACAGTTATATGATGGTGGATGGGTAAAGTGTGCTTCAGGGGTGACCCAGCTGGATGCTGGTCCCATCCCACACCCTTGCTCCAAACATATTTTTCTTAACATTAAACATTTTGCATTCATAGCTTCACTTTGAACTATCCAAACATAACATTCAGTCAGGTGATTAAGATATAATACCTTAATGTAATACAAGTATTAGCGCAGGTAAGATGCTTTGGAGTCATTGTTATTTGTCACTTATTGGCCAGAGAGGCAGAGGGAAGGTTGCACTCAGTGAAGCAGAGACGTGTGTCAGGTACACACACACTCAGTCAGTCTTCAACACTCAGTCAGTCTTCAACACTCAGTCAGTCTTCAACACTCAGTCAGTCTTCAACAGTCACACACATTCTGCCCGAAACGCTTTGCGTAATAGTGGCTTTAGGCATTGTATGTACTAGCTCTATCTATAAATCCATCAGTCTTTGTAAAATCTCTTGTATGTATGTACCTTACCTAAATAAACATTTATTTATTTATTTATAATGCTGACTGACACAAAACGTAATGCACCAGAGTGTACCAATCAAATATAAACAATACAAGTAAAGTAAGAAATGAGAATAGATATTTGCGATTTTCAACACGTGGGAGAGGCGGGAGAGACCTCACACTTTGACAAAGGTGGTCGTGAAAAAGTGTACTTAACGAGGAGAATTGGGAACACGCGGCCTTGTCCAGGACTACTATTTTTCCCTTCAGCCTCCGTGTGGAACATCCCGCCAATTAGCACGGATGCCAGATGTGCAATCTGGTTCCCCCGAAATGACGGATAGTTTTCCATTCACCAGGCTGTAGGAGTTTTCGAACTTCGGACTTCGTCAGCCTACGACTGCACATCGAGGCGGCTATCGATCGGTCTGTGTGCGTGGGAACAGAGCACCACCTTCCTTCCACGTCATGGGAGAGTCAGAACACGGTGCTCGCCTCTCACCGTCAACGAGGAGGCGACGGGCCACACAACACCTCGGATTCATTTCTGATGATTCAGATATAATAAGAGAAAGGGGCGACGCTGAGTAAAATGAGACCCACGTCCCTAAAAGACTACCACTACTACTACTACTACTACTACTACCACTACTACTATTACTACTACTGCTACTACCACTACTACTACTACTACTACCACTACTACTACTACTACTACTACTACTACTACTACTACTACTACTACTACTACTACTACCACTACTACCACTACTACCACTACTACTACTACTACTACTACTACTACCACTACTACCACTACTACCACTACTACCACTACCACTACCACTACTACTACTACTACTACTACTACTACTACTACTACTACTACTACTACTACTACTACTACTACTACTACTACTACTACTACTACTACTACTACTACTACTACTACTACTACTACTACTACTACTACTACTACCACTACTACTACTACCACTACTACTACTACCACTACTACCACTACCACTACTACTACTACTACTACTACTACTACTACCACTACTACTACTATCCACGGTGACGGATAGCAAACATTAGGTATCTAGACGTTCAAGAATACTTCGCCAAAGGAAGGGAACAATACTGTAAAGCTGCCTCTCTCCCTGCAGGTGATCACTCAATCCCCAAGGGTGGTCGCACGTTAGACGGGCTTCGCAATCCCTATATCGTGCTTCGTGCTTCTCGTACTGGTCGTGCTTCTTGTACTGGTCGTGCTTCTCGTACTGGTCGTGCTTCTTGGAGTCAGCCTCGAGATGAGATGCCAAGAGCCGGGCATCAAATTTAATTTCACGAGTGAACACTTTTCTGGTTGCAAAAGACCGAAACTGTTAAAAGAGTCCAGTGAAATTACGCGAGTTATTATTAAGTATTGTTTATTAATTAACATTAATACTGCATTTACCTGTCTTTCGTGATCTTCCAAGACAACTGCGCACCTGTGTCGGCGTGAAGCAATTAGTACGTCCGAACAGACGTTTGTTATCACTTGAGATATAAACAAGATCGGAGCTACACAAGCTCTTCACCGGGAAAGATCACATTCACTCCCCCCCAAATATCTACAACCTACGGGCTACTCCTGCCCGTGCCACCTCTTGGGGTGGCTTAATCTTCATCAATCTACACAAGTTCAAGTATTCAGATAAAGCTACTTGGGTTCAGCGCAGCTTCAATCATACAAACTCGTTCTTCCGCACGTGGCTGTGGGAACGATGGACGTTCTGCAGGTGTAGAATGGAGAGAGTATGGGCGAGGCAGCGACAGGTGAGCAGATCACGTGACCAGTAGCAGCGCCCACTCCAACAAGTCACGTGACTTCCTCCGTCACTCATCACTCCAGACGGACATTCCCTCAATCACTATTTACTCAACTGCACATCAGTTGCAGCCACTAACGGTTCATTATCACAATGCCACAGTATCAGTGAGAGATGCAGCCCAACTCCTGCTTCATAACGACTGGCTAAACACCATTAATTCCCAGTAAATAGATAATTAAACAATTAAAATACAGAATAAAGAAATTAAAAATGCCGCTGTATTTTAGAAACACCGGATTTAAAAAACTCCAATAATCTCTCACTGCTCACTTCCCTCATTGTACGTTGTCATATTGCTGATAGTCGATGTGCTCATCACTAAACCCTTAGATCATCCGTGAACCCTTGGTATTGATGGTACACATCAAATGATATACATGTAGTGGAGTGACAGACACACCTTAAGACGCAAACATTTTCTCTGAGTCCCGAGAAGGTTGTCTGGTGCTCCTTCAAGGAGGCTCAGTCAAGAGGGCAACCATTTCAGGCCAAATATACGAAAGGTTCCGGCACCTATATCATTTTTGTTGGGGTAAACAATCGTTCCTTTGTCTCCACCTCCCATCCGGCCAAAAGGTCTTGCCCCTCAAGTATTCATATACCTCCTGGCCTCCTCCCTGCTCCTTCCGGCTGGCTTTGGTACAACCGTTGTTCCGGTACACAACCGTTTTTCTCCTCTAATTCATCAACCAGATCTCATACGCTAACCTGCCATTGATATTCCTTGAGAGGAAGCTCGAGCCAAACAGTGTGACTGGAAGAGAGATGTTGTGCCATAGCGCTGCCTTGCGCGATGTTCTTGCCTCACCTAGAAGAAGAGGAAGGTTGAAAAGAACACCCTCTCACGGACCTGATATAGCGTTCTTATATCTTGTACACACACGAGTCCAGGAACAGACGACTTATGACTCCTGGTATCAGGTTGAAAGCTGATATATAGAGAGAGGAAGACAGGCAGACAGACAGCAAGCACATAGACCACCAGACAACTTGAAACAGAAGAAGTCAAACGGATCATCAGATAGAGAATATGCAACGAAGAACAGGGAGAAAACTCGACACACGATGACAAGAGCCACAATGTAAAGTGAATATTGCAGACAGCATGCCTAGCAGGGTGCTGCTGGGAGGGGTGCCAGGGCTGGGAGGGGTGCCA